TAATAATATATCCTTATACATATATATGTATATATGCTTAAATATTTTTTGGTGTGAGAGGGTGAAAGGTCTCAATACATTTTTAGAAAGGAGTATTATATTATTAAGTCAATATGACAAAGCTTTGGTTGGATGCAATTTAGAAGGGCTATGGCTTCAACTTTCAAAATATATTAAGGCAGGTGGCCTATTCTAGAGTTTAAGATTATTTGTAAAGTTTACTCTATTTTCAGTACTTAAATTTCATACCTTATTTGACATACAGGATAATATTAATGCTGTATTTTTAAATTCCTTATGAGAAAGTTGATTTCACTTTAAAGATTAGATTCACAAAAGTTTACTACTTTCCCAAGTGTTACTGAACTATATCTGACAGAACCAACAGCTCTGATTTCACAGTGGAAGCCAGCGAGGAATGGATTAATTTCATAGAAAAGTTGTTTAAAATTATTCAAATGAAATATTTCAGGCACAAAAAATAACAATGCAAATATAAAACAAACACCAGGTATCCACCATCAAACTATATTAAATATTAAAATTTTGTCTTGTTTAAGATGTCTCTTTAAATCTTTAAAGAAATAGATTATACTCCCCAATCTCATTTCCCTTCCTCCCTCTAGAGAGGTAACCACTATCCTCAATCTCTCTTTCTTTGTTATCATTCTAATTAAAACTTTTAACTTTATTGCAGGTGTATACAATCAAAATAATTTATAGAATCAATCTGCTTACTTATAAATTTAAAACAGATGGTATTATGCCCCACCTATAATTCTGCAAATTTTTCTGAGATTATTCTATGTTGCTATATATTTAGCTCTAATGCATTGAGTTTAACATCTCTCTCTCTAGTTATATACACATCTATATCATGTAGTTTCACTGTGTGAATGTAATGGAATTTATTTTACCATTCTGCCAGTGAATAATAAGATTTTTCCCTAATACTCTATTACAAATAATGCTTGTAATAGCATTATATCAATTCATCCTCCTGGAATTGTTCTTTCATCTCAACCTCAAGTACTCAGAACCTAGCTGTCACTACAATATTCACAGTCTCTCAAGATAAGGCATCATTTGATTCCTCCTTGCCTGTTACTTGCCACATCTGACCATCATCTCTAATGTGTCCCCTCTTTGCCATCTCTGACCCCTCCTTTCCATCACTGACACAGCTCAAGCTGATAGCTCCAGACTACTGACTGACCTCCTCATAAGCCTTTTTGACACCAGGCTTTTCCTCTGCAAGTCAATCTTCTGTCCTGCTGATAGCTGAAAGAATGAACTTAACAGACCAAACTGGCTATATCATGCCCTACAATGATACTTTACTGCATCTGGGATACAAATAAGTTCCTGCATCTCTCTCTGGCCTTGTTTTCCCTCCAGTAAATTTTACACCATAGAAGCCCCCCTCTCCTGCATTCAAAGCTCCTACAACACATGCCATGTTGATTCTGAGTCTCTGCTTGGGATTGGAAAATATCTCCATTGCTTTCTTGGTGAATGCCTCCTTATCCTTTAGGACAGCTTCAGTTTCCCTTGGAGCAGGGACCTCCGTACCCATCCTCTGTGCTCCCAATGCAACCTCTGCTGAGTCATAGAACTTGCCACTGAAATTCACAGACTGCGTGTGCCCAATCTTCCTTCTGAGGAGTGGCTGGTGTTTGAACTGCCAGCCTTCTGGTTAGCAGCCAAATGCCTTAGGCACTACGCCACCAGAGCTCCTACTTGAGGGCAGGGGCTAGGTTTTATTCATCTTTATATTGGTAGTACCTAGGAAAATATCTGACACTCAGATACTGGCTGAACAGAAGTGGAGGGCAGTCAATTCATTAAGCACATTTTATAATAAAGGAGAGCCAGTCTATTTGAAACAAATTGATTTACTACAGAATACATGAGAGAAAATGACTTATTCAGCCTTCTGTGAGCAAACCATCTGTTAGCTGATCCTAACAGAGATGACTCTGTAGCACTGCAAGTGCCTTCTGAATCATTAGATTAAATGATACAGCCTTCATCACTGTTACGAACATCCTCTATACCTAGTGCCTGGCACTCTCTGATAATGCCACTATCCAACAGTATTCTATATTGTTTTCAGTAATTCTTCTAGAACAAGATCACATTCTATACTTACCTGTAACAAGTTCCCTTACTTCTGCATCAATAGATTTTCTCAACAGTCGCAACAAGGCAGGTATCCCACCAACATTCTTCATTGCTATTTTATTTTCATCTGTAGACTTGCCAAAGACAAGGTTTCGGAGAGCACCACAAGCATTCTTCTGAACTTCCAAAACTCTATGGTCCAAAAGGTCAACCAGATGCTTGATTCCCCCTAATCTACACACCTAAAATGAAAAATATTAGGTACCAGACCTAAGTGTTATATGATCAATCAGGGACCAAACAAAAGGCTGTTATGGGGAAATCAAGGAAATGTAGCCCATTTCAAAACATTATTTTTAAATAACTCATTTTTTATGAATTTGAGAAGACTCTCCAAGATGATGTTCCTTTCCAGGGTTCATGGTTTAAAATAGGAAACCTAAGTGGATTAATGTCCACATGTAGGCAGCACCCTCTAAACACACATGGGAGATTATGGTTTCACTCCAGGAGTGCAATGAACAACTACATAAACACATCTCTGGCCATATGCAGGGCTAGAGACAACAGAGGAAAGGACTTGTGACTGTGGTCATTTAATTTCTAGAATTGGTTCTCTAAGCTACTATCTCTAAATTTTCTTCCACTTGTCAATTCATTAGTGCATTATTGAGTGTTTCTAGGCTTTACTAGGAGCTCTGGTAGCATAGTGCCTAAGGCACTTGACTGCTAACCAGAAGGCTGGTGGTTCAAACCCACCAGCCACTCCTCGGAAGGAAGGTTGGGCAATCCTACTTCTGTAGTGATACTGCCTCGGAAACCCAAGGAGGGGTCGCTATGAGTCGGGGCCGACTCGACGGCACATAACAACAACAACAACAGGCTTTATTACTGCATCCATCTTTACTGGTATGGTGCTTTACATACTAAATTGATGAAAAATATTTCAGTTCAATATGATGCTGCAGGGGGATAAAAGGCCTAAGACATTACAAGAAAGAATCAGTGTGTTATAAAACACCAGTCAGTAACCAATGACTCACTATGTTTTTATAAATGCCAAAAAAACCCTGTTATATTTCATATTAGTAATGGTTATACATACTCTGTGACTTTACTAAATTATACGTGGCCACCAATCTTGACCATAATCTCATAAAATGCATGAGCTCACTAGTTCAAGGCATACTATAATTTTTATCTAATAGATTTTTCAAAAATTCTTTTAAAATGCAGGTTACACCGATTTTTGTTTCATGTTTTATAAATAAGCTAATGAAGTGGACACATGATATGAAAATGCTAAACGCACCCCAAGAATTATACTCATTCTAGTTCTGGCTGAGAAATACTGAAATGCACAGCTAAGAAGTTAAAGAGTATCTAGTATCAAAATATTTCCTTAAAAAGACTCCTGCATCACATTTGGAACTTTCTTAAGCACATGACTGCTAAGTGAAAAGGCACTGTCTCCCAAGTTATTCAGGTGCTGGCTCCTGTACCTCCATCTTCACTTTGTTGTCACCAAAACACAGGTGCTGCAGGTAGGCCGCCGCGTTTGCCTGCACCGACGGGAACTGGTGCTGCAGCATGTGAATGACTTCAGGCAGCTCAGGATCACGCCAGGCAAACTCTCTGCACGAGAAAAACACGGCTTCAAAAAGCAAGGCCCCAGGTTTTAATTGACTGCACTGTACAAAACATTTCTCATAGGATATAAAGCTCAGCTGAGACAAAAATTGGAAATTATAAGTATCAATATACATGTGTGTATATGTATACACACACACACACACACACATAATACACACACACACACGATTTCCCTTCTTGATAAACATATGTAGAGTCCCAGATGCTTATGATCTTAAAGAAATCAGGATGCACAGAAAGAGATTCAGGGGAACAAAGGAAGCTCTTAATATGAGTAACTTTTCCATTCTTATTTTCCTCCTCCTGACTCTATTTTTATGCCTTTCTACCTATGTAAGAATTCTGCAGGTGCAAGGCACAGGTAAACAAATGCACTTTGGCTACGGAAGATGTTATGCCTGAGGAGAAAGAAGGGGTTGAAGGAATAGACAGTGCTGGCATCAGCCAAGACATCTCAAATTTTGTAGGCTCAATTATTTTTGAAAAATATAACATTTATGGTTGCTCTTTATTATGAGACACAGAAACAGAAAATTATGAAAAATAAAAATACATTTTATTTTTATTATTGTAGTTTGGATAAAAGTTTACAGAGAATATTAGTTTTCCATTCAACAGTTTATATATACTTTGTTTTGTAACAATGGTTGCAATTCCCTCAGTGTAAGAGCACCTCTCCCGCTTTTGCCTTTCATTCTTCTTTCCAGCCCCTTCGTAACTTCTGAACTTTGTTTTTGGGCAAGTGCCACCCTTTTCGTTTCATACGGTTGACAGTATTGAGAAGTACATTCCACCCTGGTGTGGAATGTATTATTCAATGTTATTAATCAATCCATACCAAAACAAAACAGTACAAAACAAAACCCAAAAAACCCCAAACTCACTGCCATTGAATGAATTCCAACTCATAGTGATCCCCTTTGGGTGTCCAAGATGGTAAATTTTCATGGAAGTAGATTGCCCAGTCTTCCCTCCACAGAGTGGCTGAAGGGTTTGAACTTCTAGCCTTCTGGTTAGCAGTCAAATGCCTTAGGCACTATGCCACCAGAGTGCTAGTCACTCTATAGGCCTGTCTATTGTTTGGCTGAAATGTGATCTCTGGGGGTGGGTTCAGTTTCAGGCTTGAAGGGTATCAAAGGGGTTACACTGGTCTGTACCAGACCAGTAAGTTTGGTCTTTTTTATGTTTTTGAGTTTTGTTCTACAGTTTTTGTTTCCGCCCACTCTGACCAGGTCTTCCTATTGCGGTCCTGATTAGAGTGGTCGGTAGTGGTACCTGTGCACTATTTAGTTCTTCTGGCCTCTGAGTAGTGGAGGCTGTGGTATACATGGTCCATATCTTTTGGACTAACTGAAGAAAAATCCATTTTACCAGTAATCCTACATCCAGAGAAAACCACAGTTGACTTTTCCCATTGGTCCTTTATCTGCATATGTGTTCAAGCATGTGTACATATGAGTGTACAGAATTATATTATAAAATTGGATTATTACTAAATAACATTGCATATTTCATGAGCACCTATTCTGTGCCAGACACTATTCCCAGAGCTTTATGTGTATTATATTCATTTATTCTTACAGCAACCTTACAGCTTTGAGATTGAGGCAGAGAGGTTAAAGTAACTTTCCTCAAGTAACAGGGCTAATGGATGCAGAGCAAGATCTGAATTCAAGCAGTCTGCCTCAGAGCCTGTGCCTTCGACCACTATGCTATATCATTTCTTGTATAACAAGTATAAACCTTTTATAAATCATACTATACATATTAAAAGAAAAAAAAAAAAAAACTCACTGCCGTTGAGTCGGATCCAACTCATAGAGACCACTCCTTGGATTTCTGAGGCAGTATCACTACAAAAGTAGACTGCCTAATCTTCTTTCCGAGGAGTGGCTGGTGGGTTTGAACCACCAGCTTTCTTGTTAGCAGTCAAATGCTTAGTCAAAGGCACTATACCACCAGAGCTCCCACTACGCCTTCAGAGATCCCACTGCACTTAAAGACTCTGTAAATTTTTTTTTTAAATTCTGATTTGGGTGAAAGTTACATATAGACTCTCATAGCCTGCTTTTTTTCAAGTTACAGTTCCTGTCAGATTTTCTGATGTCATTAGATTGGCCCATTATTTGTTAAATGTGAGTTTATGCTTATCTGATGTGAACACCAATCTCCTAGAAAATTACAGGATGAATTTTAATGGTTAGTCAAAAAATGAATTAATGCTGAGTAAACTTTTAAACAAAAAAAAAAAAAA